CTTTCTTTTTTCACACCTTTTTACTTTCTTTTTCACACCTTCTTACATTCATTTTTCACACCTTTTTATTTCTTTTTTCACACCTTTTTACCAATTTTTCACACCTTTTTACTTTCTTTTTTATCCCCTTTTTACTTTCATTTTTTTACACCTTTTTGAAAAAAAGAGTAAAAAAGGTGTTGAAATTTTTTTGTAAAAATTAGTGAAAAATAAAAAAAAGGTGTGAAAAAATTAATAAAAGGTTTGGGAAAATAAGGAAAAAAGTTGTGAACACAATTAGTAAAAAATTGTGAATAAATTAGGAATATGGTGTGAAAAAATTAGTAATAATTTGTGAAAAAAGAAAGTAAGAAGGTGTGAAAAAGTTAGTAAAAATTGGTGAAAATATAAATACATGGCGTGAAAAAGGAAAGTAAAAAGGTGTGAAAAAAGAAAGTAAAAAGGTGTGAAAAATTAGTAAAAAGGTGTGAAAAAATTAGTAGTGAGGTGTGAAAAAATTGGTTAAAAGGTGTGAAAAATTAGTAAAAAGGTGTGAAAAATTAGTATTAAGGTGTTAAAAAATTGGTTAAAAGGTGTGAATAATTAGTAAAAAGGTGTGAAAAAATTGGTAAAAATTTGTGAAATATTAATAAAATGGTGTGAAAAAATTAGTAGTGAGGTGTGAAAAGATTGGTTAAAAGGTGTGAAAAATTATTAAAAAGGTGTGAAAAAATTAGTATTAAGGTGTGAAAAAATTAGTAAAAAGGTGTGAATAATTAGTAAAAAGGTGTGAAAAAATTAATAAAAAGGTGTGAAAAATCAGTAAAAAGGTGTGAAAAAATTAGTAAAAAGGTGTGCAAAAATTAGTAAAAAGGTGTCAAAAAATCAGTAAAAAGGTGTCAAAATAGAAAGTAAAAAAGGTGTGAAAAAATTGGTTAAAAGGTGTGAAAAATCAGTACAAAGGTGTGAAAAAATTAGTATTAAGGTGTGAAAAAATTAGTAAAAAGGTGTGAAAAAATTAGTATTAAGGTGTTAAAAAATTGGTTAAAAGGTGTGAATAATTAGTAAAAAGGTGTGAAAAATTTAGTATTAAAGTGTGAAAAAATTGGTTAAAAGGTGTGAAAAATTAGTAAAAAGGTGTGAAAAAATTAGTATTAATTTGCGCAAAAATTAATAAAAAGGTGTGAAAAAATTAGTAAAAAGGTGTCAAAATAGAAAGTAAAAAAGGTGTGAAAAAATTAGTCAAAATGTTTGAAAAAAGAAAGTAAAAAGGTGTGAAAAATTAGTAAAAATTTGTAAAATATTAAAAAAAGGTGTGAAAAAATTGGTTAAAAGGTGTGAAAAAAATAGTATTAAGGGGTGAAAAAATTAGTTAAAGGTGTGAATCATTAGTAAAAAGGTGTGAAAAATTAGTATTAAGGTGTTAAAAAAGAAAGTAAGAAGGTGCGAAAAAATTTATTTTTTAATTTAATTTACTACATTTTTTACCTTTTTAATAATATTTCATACCTTTTTACTTTTTTTTTCACACTTTATGTGTCTGGCCTGAGATGGAATTTTTTTAAGTGACTCCATATATTCTTAATTATTTGGATTCACTGGTATAGTTATGTATACAAAATAAATCGTCTGATAAAAATTTTTTTTATTATCTAGATTTGGTATATATGAGAAGTTTTTATATCAAGTATCAACAGGTAGAAACTAACCTGAGTATTAATTTAACACAAATTTAGAAGTGTAGCATAGATTATATTCGTAGAAACATGTGATCAAAAAGAGTTGCAAAATTATCATGATAAAAAAAAATTTAAAAAAATGAAAATTTAAAAACAAATCCACTGCAGTTGGATTGCTTACCTGATTAGCTGTAGTACATTGACTTCGATCCGACGAACTCGGATTGCTTACCTAGGTAGCTAACTTGAATGTTATACGATTTTCACTTGAGGTAACGGACTTAATAATAAATAAAACCCTATATGTTATAACCCGACCATTAATTCTCAATGTTATGATATAATATTGTATTTCATAATTAATACACTCTAAATTGAATGAGTAACGTTAAATTGTATATTGCTAATATATATTAATGTACCTATATCTTAATTTTATATACAGTAGACGCCGCTTATAAGACTCACGGATTTAAGATTCAGTCGCTTATTAGACTCAAAATCGTCTGGAACGGACCGGACGTATCAAAATACATTTAAAAAAAATCGGATATAAGACTCAACGCTTCGGTTATGAGATTCAAATTTCGTTAAATAAATAGTAGAAAATAAACTTTTTTGGTTATAATTTAGAAATAAATTGGTATTGAAAAATTAAATAATATTCGTGTTGATTATTCCTAGTTTCTGTTGATACCTTATAACGTAGATAAAAGTTCACATTTATCGCAACGATTATGGTTAATTATAGTGAGGTATCTGATTATCTGGCGGCTGCACAGTTATCGTAATTACGGGTACATATAAATACACATACGACGTATACGACTAAGTACATTAAACAAATTATATATACAGTACAATATATTTTTATAATTACTTAATGTCAAAGCCTACCTATATAAAATTATTGTTGAGTTGGATATCTAACTATCTAAGTACATTTTTAGTACCTCAATTTTTTTAGATATATATTTTTTACTCAATATTCGATTGTAGACAACAGGTTTTTAATTGTCCTCTAATTTTGTCCAAGTTTGAAACATAAATTTAAATTAGTCTTCTTTCTCTTTTCGAAGTTTGTTTATATTATGATTTTATAAATTTTTAAATAAGCTCCACTTTAGTTGTCTAACAATAAATTAGCTCTACTGTCAAAAATTATGTTTAGTTACAACAATAGCCATTCTTCAATTGCATAACGTAGCGTGTTATACATAATTTCATTATCTAATTTCACCGTTAAACACCTTGTTGTTCTCTTTTAAATATACATATACAGTTATAATTGTTGAACTACGATAATTTAAGTATTAAAAGCTAGTAAAAAAAATGGATTAATTTATAACTTAAAAATTAAGTGTAAAACTATGAGTTACAACATCTGTGGAATGATTCTGGGTCCATTAGACGTTTTTAACGTCTACTGAAGGCTTCCCAAAGCCTATATACCTACAATTGTTTGAAAAACCACACCGGGGCATAAATAATTATCAAATTTATAATGATAATAAAAAAAAAAGATATGCAGATAAATGTTTGCAGTATGCAATGTATTAATACAGTTGAACTTCGTTAACTCGAACTCTTATAGCTTCTACTACTTCGAGTTAATCAATTCCGACTGTATTCTTAAACAGTGTATTGGAACAAGTAAGTACAGTGCGAGGACAGCACCTATTGTATCATGGTTGCGTTTTTGCATGTAAAAAAATAAGATTGGAACCATGACGCGGCTACGGCGGTGTGTTCGTCGCGGTAGTCCGGTCGTTGATGGATTCGCGGTGAGCGACACTCGAGTATAACAAAAATATTACACACACACGTCACACACACACACACACACACACACTTGTTGCTGATCAAAAATACTTTTATCGTAGTGCGTAGTCACACGCCATGACTTCGATCACAATAATTGTAATTCGTGTTGCAGTCATATAATAGTACAATTATTGTCAGCTATTGTGGTTTTTGACATGCGGTGTGTGCTACGGCGATCGGTGTCCAGCGCGACTTGTCTTCCCGTCCCCACCTTGTGCCTCTCCGGCGGGAGAGTTGACAAAGTCGCGTTGTCGTAATCCGCGGTGGTGGTTGATAAGAGCGTAGACCGGTCGCTGCGATGCCTGTACTTCGTATTGGCTGCCGTTGCTTACCGCGTCGACCATCGTGTTTCACTGGGTTTCTGGAAGGAAATTGAATCTAGTAAAATGGAAGAAGGGGATCGTGCAAAAACTAGACAGCTTCGTTTTCATCAAAATCGAATAATTCGATAAAGCAAAAAATTACGAGTTTATCAGTAGGAGAAAATCCGACCACCCCTATAGGAAATATAATGTAACTGGGAGCTGTCTAGTTTTTTTTCCGCTGAAAAACTAGATAGCTCAGTAGGTGTTTATGTTTCTTGAAGTTTTGAAAATTGAGTTGTCTCGTTTTTGCACGGATCCCTTTAGTTGTCTCCTTGTATGGGTGGGTGCTAGGGCACAACAATTACCTCCATGGGTGGCCTACACAGTACACAACGACAACTCGATCACGTTTTTTTTTTACTATTTATTCAATTATGAGTTGTATGGAAACTATGAAATTGATGTCATAGGTAAAGTAGAATACTCTGATTAAAATATGTGATATACTCGCATAATAGTATAGGTACACCGAACACAACAAAAATATAATTTAAGGTATAATATAGGTAAGTATAGTTGGGTATGTCTGAACAAAAAAAAAAAAATTGTTTTTAAATATTTATTTCAAAAGAGAAAAACTCACATAAAAACATGGCCTTACTCCGTTATATTATATAATAATGATGGTTCTTAATACGGATATGTATACGTGATGTAAATGCATATTAAATGAACACTCTAAACACTACTACTTTATAATAATAATATATTCACGACATAATTATAATAATATTACGAAAATACAACAACATTAAAATATGCGTACGATAATAATAATAATAATAATAATATTTATAATAATATAAATACAATATAATGATATTATAGTTATAATAATAATAAAAAAATGATTACATTTTTAAATTGGGATATGCATTTTATAGATATGTATCTGTTAAATGACTATATTGTCTAAACTGATCAATATAGCTATTTGTATATTATGTAATAATAATAGTATTAATGATAATAATAATAGTTGTTATATCCTAATAGTCTTAAAATGTATAAACTCATAAATCACATGTAAATGTATTTAAAATTACGTAAGTCGTATGCTAATTATATCTTTTGCAGTACCCCACGAGACGATGCCGATAACGACCTTTTGACACGACACAGCTGATGGTACTTAGTTTTTGTTTTAAAGATGTTTTTTTTAAAACATTTTATTTTTGTTTAATGTTATTCTACAAACGTCCCGCAGGGTCTTGCAAAGAATCGTAATAGCTCTCATCGTTACGTAATTTATTAAGATATGTATTGCGAATGGTTTTTAAGCTTAAATGTTAATGATAATAATAATATTATAATCAATCGTATAATATGTAAATATAATAACACTCTTCAAACATTCCTACAAGTATACATCTATAATAACTAAGATGACTTAAAATCAACATTTTTTCAGCTACAGTATTTAATCATCATCTACAAAAATTCCTAAATTTAAAATAGTGTAATCCATTGGTTAATATAGTTTTCATACTTATATAATATATGTATTATTATAGCTCATTAAATCGCATGTTTATACGTGTAAGATGCATGATATAGTATAGATACTAGATACTTATAATATGAAGACGCTATTAAAAAACGAAAATCAAATGCTAAATATTCAAATCGGAAAAAGGTCACGTGCAGTAAAAGTAGCGGAGTGGGTAGTGGGTATCCCACATGGTGGGTTGAAGAATATTGTACAATTTGCGCGAACTCTGATGTCTAACGAGTGTACCTTTGGGGTGCAGTACCTACCTAATACATCAAATACACACTCGTCAGTCGCCGACGAGTCATTTCAACTTACCCACGTCTAATGGGCAGGGCCGGCTTGGTGAATATCGGGGACTATTTAATAGGTGCTAGGTATTTTTTCGGGCCTCAAAGACAGTATACGATTGAAAACGTATCAATAAATCTGAATCATTAGATGAATATATGAACTAAGGTTACCTACGATAAGTTATTTTTGCAAAGCCCCCCCGCTCTGTGCCACTACACAGTTCGAACCACCTACAAGCCGGTCCTGAAAATAGAGATAGGGGCCACTTGATGATAAGGTGGGTAGAAAAAACGTCAAATTTTCGTCGACGGTTTTAATCACCGATAACGGTTCTTGCAAGATAATTGAAATCAATCTTAAATAGTGGCCAATTGTAAAACAACTGATGATGATAATATGGGCGTACAACAGGTAGCTGCAGGTGGTACGCTTGTTATACCTAACGACTGACTATGTGTCTAGGCGCCGTACAATATTATTTTATGATATAATATTATTGTTAGTATTTTACTGAAGAAAGAAAAAAAACTATTAAGTCCGAAGCTTCGTGTTGAGGGTTCTTTGGTTTTTTCAAGACCACAATAATACTTCGAATTAAAAATTATTATCGTTACGCGCTGTCGTAGGTTTAGTATAAAATGTGTATTCGACGTAGGCACTATATACAGTATGTCACTGTCGTAATTGATCGATAAATTTCCGTGGAGCGTATCCTAATCGTCATACCTACACGACAACCGCCAGAGTGGTGCACGCTCGATTTGTCCCACTATCTTCACTCTGCAATATTGCAATAAAATTATTATTAAATTACACATCACGCGACACGCGCGGGGTAGAGATTTTTAAAGCGTATAATTTTTCCGACGAAAAAAATAAAAACACTTACACGTATAACGGAGGGTCTATCTAAATAGCGCAAACACATGTCCAGTGCCGAATCTAAGTCGGGGGTGTAACTGCTAATAAATTATTGGAAGCACATAAAAGAAAATTGCTATTCATAATAAGTCATTTGATGCATTAACAATTGTATATTTTTTGTTGTTGATAAAAGTGATTATGATGGATATAAAAAAGAAATCATTTCAACTAGGTACAGGCATCTCAAGGTTAATATTGAGTTCCTTTAAATTGAGTCACAATAGTGACATTAGCTGGGATAAAACCGAGTCCATAACAGTTTGAAATGAATGGATGGGGGCAATTTGTTTAAACACTTTTTTTTCTTGACCATTATTCGATATTCTTAGTAATTCATCACTTTACAGAGTTGAAAAATCTATGACATCAACCTGACTAACTGGCCCAAAGCAAACTCGAGGATTGAGGTGAATTCCAACTCCCGCGCCCCCACTAAATCCGGCACCGCTGAACTTGTCTATATGAGAATCACGTCTACAATTTTCTTGGGTGGCTACTACGATAAGATAATAAATGATATTATTATTGCGTCACGATTAAATTATTATTAACTACATAATATATATGGTTAGGTACTTATTATATTATACGATACGGATGATATGTGGTTGATATGTTGTCGGCAAAAGGTCCGACGGTCGTCGGCCAAATTGAGAGAACGATAAACGAAAAACATACAAAAAATAAAAAAAAATATACAAACACATGGGGGCAGCTGGTGCAATATTATAATATTGTGCAACCCGAAATCGTAGACGGCACATCGAAATCGCATTGTACTACACCGTCCTGCAGTGATGGTTCGACATCGATATTATAAAATATCATATCGAATCGCAAAAGTGTTTGTTTCGCACCGATAGTGTAGTTTTGTTATGTTTTTTTTTTTAAACGAAAAACAAAACAATATAATATCATCTCGCGAGAGAGCTTCGGGTCTAATATTTTGATGCTCGCCGTTCGATCGTTTCCGCAATATCCTGCGCGTTGTACAGCTGGAAGTTGCCATGACTTGCGTTTTTTAACATTCTGATGGAACTTACCACGTCACAGGAGGCAGGCACCTGTCATCATAATACATAATAATATTATATACACTCGTGCGTGGGCCATGCACCACTGGCACACTCGATATTTTTTTCATTCAATCTCGATGCGAGTTCGGGAGGTCATGGCTGTTATAGGCGTATACAATGATATGATATAATATTTGATGATTATGGCGTGTACATTATCGATGCTCGCGTGCATTCGTGTTTGCGTGTAAGTGAGTGTAAGTGTGTTTGTCAGTGTATGTGTGTCTGTGTGTGTGTGTTTGTGTGTGTGTGTGTGTGAGTGTGTAGGTGTGTGTGTGTGTGTGTGTGTATGTTTTCATTTGAATTGATGTAGGGCGAAGACGAAAACTATCAGGATGCGGGAAAGGACACGAGCTTCGCCGATCCCGTTGGCTGACGACGAGTATTTTTTGCCCACGCAGTTCATTCTCTCCACTGGCAAATTTAAGACGCTGAACTCCCTGCGAACAATACACAAACAGTTTCATTAATATTTTGTTATGTTATAATTGGAATTGAAGTCCGTAAATAAAAATTATTATTATTATACTTTATTGATTCATCATCGTCATCAACATCGCTTCATTTATATACAAAAGTAAAGACGAAAGTCAAGTACAACGAACTAAAAAAATAACCCTTAAGCAACCTAAAATTAACCCACCTCCCAATCACGACTCACTCTTCTACAAACAGTTTATAATAAACACAAGTGATATTAAAATTACTATTATTATTTGCCTAGGTACCTACTATAATTACTATTTAGTAATTGTTTTTCACTTTCATATTGAGCAATCAAAGCCAATCACACCTTTAAATATTAAAAAAAAATCGAGAAGCAACTACTTCTCAAACACACAGTGGTTGTTCCGCAAGTGTTTGGTCAAGTATAACCCGCATAGGTACCTAAATATTATAAATTCAATAAAATAATATAGTATTTGACATTTGTATATAATACTCGTATTATATAAATGCAGATATGGCGTAATATAATCCGACCTATACATAAGACCTATGTCATGTTATTTAATATTATAAACGTCATAAAACATAACATTTTATGTAAGCCCCAAAATAGTCATTTTCAAAATTTTCAATTAGAAAATGTTGGTAATAGTAAGAAAATCAAAAATACTCATTTCTAATTTTTTCCAATAATATTTGGCAAGTGTTAAATAGCGCTAATATTATATGGTATATTATTTCATACATAATACGACCCTGCTCTGTAATAGACTATATTTGGAACAAAATATAAACCTTGCGTCTGTGTGAGAGCTTATATTTCGACTTTTTAGATAATTTATTCAGGAGCAAACAGAACCTACCGACAAATCAGTAATATTTCGGAAAGTCCGTACTCAATATTTTCACTTAATTTTTCGATTCGGCTGAGATCCAATTACCAAAAAAAACTGATTTTAAATGAGCTGAATTAACGATCTTGCACTTTTTTCAAATTTTATACTACAATGTATAATATATTAAAAAACTAAGCAGAGACGATCGGAGAGGAACGAGTGCTCGAGAACCAGCAGTATTTTCCAGGAATTTTCAATTTTCTCGAATAAAAAAACGAAGTTGAAAAACGAATTTTTGAAGTTTTTATACCTACTTTATGATTTATATAAACTGAACTAGAAATTTAATTAAAATTCCTTATATCAATCATATATAGTGTTTCAAATAACGTTTTATAACTTATTATATAGACACCTACAGGCGACAAACCTACACTTTACTGGTATGGTGTAAAATTGTGAAATTATATTTAACAAACTTCTACATTGTATATAATATATATAGTATACTGGTATAATAAACTGTGATAAAAGCTCAAAGTGATTTAAAGTTAATAAAGTTTGTTTTTCGTCAATATGTGTGTTCTACACACTGTATGCGCGTGTAATTATTTCAAAAATATTATTAACAGCAGCGGCACATTAGCATTTGTTTGTTTGACTTGTTTTTGTTTTATTTCTGAATAAATTACCCATTCAAAAGAGTGAAAAATCATTGTATCAAAGAACAACGCGAAATTTTGTTTCTGTGTTTGTAACTTATAGATATGGTATGCTAATTTTATGCCTGTTCTCGGATTTCCTAAATCGCGTCTATTTTTATTACATATGTGGGCGAGACATTTTGAAAAAGAAAATAGTTTTATGTAGGTATACTTTGCATTCACACCATTACCGGGTACAATATTGTGCAGGTATTGTATACATTATACACAATTTAAATAGCGTATTAACATAAAGATAAGTGTATTAAATAAGACCAGATTGTAAATCCATGTCTACAATTTCACAGGTAATGCATTTTATGTACAAGATATATTAATGAAATGTAAATTGTGTAGACAGAGATAATCTGATGTTAGGTTTTAAATCAATGCCCAAAATCCGAAAGAGTCGCCATTTATCCACTTTTTAGGGGATTTAAAATAGGCTATTTCAATAAAAACATCGAGAATAATTTAAAACAGAATTTTTAAATATATTTAAAAATATTTTGAATACTAATTCATACTTTATACTCACTCGTGTTTAATAAATAATTGACATTGTATTTATTTCAAAAAAATCTCGTGTAAAAACTTAAAACCATTTTTAATATTACATTAGTACACGCTTGGATATAATATAAGTAGATTGTTAGTTTTAATTTAACGTATAAATTAAATATGTTTTATTAGTATGGTTTATTTGAATAATGTCTTTATGAATAAATAAATTGTATAAGTTGGCCAATACTTCATTTTTTTTGTTTTTATATTATAGACAGTTTCTAGCATATATTTTTATACCTCAACAATTACACTATTTAGATTTTAAACAATGGGTTGTATCATAATATTATAGTGTGTATAATACTATAATATTAAAAGAAAAAAAAATATGATTATAAAATTATAGTTATTATGTATCAATTTTCAAAATGTACAACTGTATGAATACAGATAATGTATTATATTGTCACGCATAATATGATTTATTTAAATGATTTTACTTTTAATTTATAGATTTTAGGGTATCCCGTTATCATAATATATAAAGACTCTCCAACATAAATAACCAAGTAGGTATATTGTTTTTTGTTTAGTGTGTTTAAAATTTCTTGAAATTTAGAAAATTATTTAGGTTTTATTATATTGTATGTTTTTTGTCAACTATAGGAAGGCTAAGTATATATTGATATATTTAGAAAAAAGTGGATAACAGTAATAAATTAGAAACGCCATAGTATTATATTATCAATATATTTTGAGCAGCTGAATTGTAAAAGCAATATTTCCTACAAAATATGACTGAGCCTATAATAAAATCCTATTTTAATAGGTACCTAAATACTACTTATCGTACTGAATTCGCTCAGAATTGTTTTTACATGATTTTCCTATTTGAAAAAACAATAACTCCCGTATTCCACTATCGTGACATCCCCAAAACGCAGTTTCAATTATATCGGCGCCCGATACCGAAATTGTTGTCTTGATTTTTTTTTAAACATAATTTCTATTCAAGCATCTGTTGCGGAAGCTGAATAATATTGGATTATCTAGCTTAATTATTGATAAAATAAATAAAGGACATGAAAATAATAGAGCTAAGAGGTTTTTAGTGGATTGTAGGTACTTCGTTATCGTCACTAGCAGTTATACTAATCGAACTAAATTTACACATTTTAACAGTAGGTATGATCTACATTTTTTTCTCTTACAGACAAGCAAGTTAAGATGCCAATGTCTATTTAGACTTCTTCTGGGATTGCCCGGAATCGTTGCGAAAGACAATTGGTCGTCAGACGATACAACAGATATGGTACACTGAGTTAGTCGATTAGTGAAGCGTTCATAATGAAGTTTTGCTGGTTCAGTGGCAGTCTCAGCTCATAAGATTAAATTTCATATACATATCGCAGACAAACATATAATAATATTACACCAGGTGTACCTATATTATCTCGACTCTTTTTGTTTATGAAGTTTTTGGATTCCGCGTTTACGCGTGCACTTTCCCGCGAACACCCTCCCACCACCAGACGACCCACGATTTCCAATTGTTCGAGTAGAAATACATATTATTATAATTTTGTACAATTTTGCGAACAACAAACGACACACACCTGTGTTCTTCTTCCATCAGACAGAGTATGTGTTTCTTCTGTATGATGTCGTCGTCGTCCCGGTGACGTAACTCTTTCAGCCAATCCCTGTACCAGCGCAGGTCACAGTCACAAATCAGCGGGTTATCTGTAGACGAAGAAAAATAAATAAAACATTAAATTTGCAGGATTCAGGTATACCTAACATTCCGAAAAGGGTCGTTTTTATCTGACCCAATCGTCCGGAACGTCACAATCCGGCAGAGTTGCTGGAAATAATGTCCATTTCAGTGGTCATTAATATTGGGTTATGTTTGGTGTTTCTTTCGTTTTTTATTTTTATTTCGGGTGTGGTTTATCTCAAATGGGTTTTTTTTGTATTTTAAAATTTATATTTTCCGAGGAAATAGTAAAATATATTTACCAAAATAATATTAACCACCGTTGTTTGAGAAATTGGATAATTTTGTGGTTGCACGAATGGCATTTCTACGTAACAGTTATTTCGTGACTGAATACCGAGGGCAAGTGTTAACAGTTGTTTATAGCAGATTTTATTTATTTAATGAGTAGTTTGATACTTTCAAATCATAAAGTGACCAGACTTTGAGATTTTGAGACAATTTTTAACATTACAATAATTTAACAACTATACAAAATAAAGTAATTGATTACATACATAAGATGTGAATAATATGGGATATGACACTTTACATAATATACATTATTACAGTTTTAAATGTTCATCGTAATAAAAACAAATATTTAATAATCTTACCTACTCGATGAATTATTATTTAATGTCTATACTTTACATACCTACATACAGTATAATAAAAAGTGATTTATTGATTTTTTTGACAAGTTTATAATATTTTTGACTGTTGATTAAACCCGACAACCTAAAATAATGTGTTGAATAAAAAAACGTTAAAATATTTTAAGCCTCGTCAGAAAAACGTTTGTCGTTCTGTGCTGAGTATAAGTCAGCCGTCTCATTAAAAAAAAATAAAAAAAAATTCTTCATGACTTTATCTCGCAGCTTCAAAACGCCAATCACATTATTCTGATTGCCTTTGAACAAGTAGTAGGACATATTTACATAGTATATTTTCGACGAATGAATATCTGCAGCAGTTTGCATATTACCATAATGTAATGGTCTAAGGCGGTTTTTTTAAACATTTATTAACAGCTAAATTCCCAAAAAGTCAAACCACCCAACTGAATTAAAAAAAAATTGTAAAATCATTTAGAGCACCAATAGTCAAAATATTTGATAGCCTAATATTATAATTTTTCATTATTTTCTTCTTATACAACATTTCTAACGCGAGACCTAACTTATCTACCCAGAAAAAACGTGCCGATATCCCATAATAATATTTCTCTTACAAAACGGTGTATTCGTGTATCAAAGTATAAACATGTCATAAAAACCAATCTCTCCTTCTCTTTTCAATTGACAGAAGGTGAGAAAAATATTGTGGTAGTCCACCACCAACATTCATATTTTATAATACTAATATTCAAGTCCGTGTATAAAAACGTGGCGTTTGTGTGGACAACAAAAAACTTTTAAATGATTTTTGAAAATACGAAACCCATTAATTTGTCAGTGTATTTACAATTTGTATTTTTTATTATTTGTTTCGTAATTGCGTGGGACTCACTGAAAAGCGCGGGGGTGGGTCGGGGGTGAGGGTTGGTTGCACATCCGTTGACTTACCCATAATATCAATAACAGTTGCAGTGTCTACTATTGCCTCGAGTGCTTCTTCCGGTACTCGCGTCAGCTTATTGTTTTGCAGGTTTAATATTTCCAAGGAATTCAAATTCTCGAACGCCATCATTGGTAACGTTTTGATGCTAATTAAAAATAATCGGCGTCAACTTTCAGCCCACCGAGTAAAATAAAATATAGATATTGGGTACAGTACGACTTACTCATTTTTTTGCAAATTCAAAAATGTGATCGAATCCCCAAAACCAGTGAAAGCGTCTTCGGCAATATGTGATATGTTGTTGGCTTTGAGGTCCAAGTGTCGAAGTCTGTGTAAACGACGGAGTGATTCGCTTGGTATTGTGTGCAAGTTGTTGTCACCCAATCTTAAATATTGAAGATTTTCTAAAAAACAAAAATGATATGTTATGATATATATGATATGTTATACAGCTGAGTCTATTATTTATTATTTAAGTTTCACATTAGATTTGTTAATATTAATCAAATTTGTTTTCAAATGATTTAACGAGTTTGTATTTTTTCCATGATCAGTATTTTTAAAAAAAAATCCCAAGATTATAATTACACATAAATTACACATAATATAATTAGACTTCAGGGTATACTGCGCTAGCGTGCCACGTATGCAATTATATTTATTTTATTTATTATTATGTTTCACATTGTTTCATTTTGGTTTACTACATTTCGGCGAAATAAACAAAATTATTATACGTCATAGTTTTTTAATTAAAATTGAAATACAAATTAAAATGTTTGTTTTTTACACGATATTTAACGTATCATATAACACCTTATAGTACAAACAACGATGATAATGTTAAAACTTGTCACCATTTCAATATGTTGGTTAAGATTTTTCCAAAAATGTAAACATTTATTTTCAAGAGTAATTATTCCTGAATCGAAGAAATAAGTACATAAATTAAAAAATTATGTTTTAAACTTAATAATGTAGTTTACTGTAAATAGAACTCTTAATTTTTCTATCGACTATTATCTGAATTAGGTTTTAAAGAAGCAGAACATCGGTTACATTTCCTTTGTCATAAAGTTGTTTAAGAACATTAACTTAAAAAAATAAAACCCTAAACATCTCAGTTTTTAGCTTGATAAGCTTTTTAAGACATGATCTCACCAAATATCAGATAAAAAACTATTACACGTTGGATTTTTGGTCTCTGTAGTGTTTGGCTTAGAGCCATAAAACCTTCTATATCATTGTTTGTTGTTCAGTTTCAGGCCCTAAAAATAAATTGAAGAGTCAACTTTGTAATACATACCAACAACCACCAGTGTTTAAACGTTACAACTTTAGGTTTAGTTTATTTTATAGCTACGATGATAATTTATTTTATGAATTAAAATTAAAATAAATACCAAATAATTTGATTGAAATTGGAGTCACCTATACTCGTATATGCGTATATTATGCACTAGCCACATAATTATCTAAATATTGCAGACGATAATGCACCGAGAAACTGTTAGCAAATAATGACGTAATTTAAGTGTATTTTTTTTTGTAAATAATATTCTGTGTAGTTTCTACCATCTTATTTTTAGCTCTAACCTTAAAGTACAACACTTTAGTGCAATCTGCATGTGTCAATTTCCATGTAATTGACATAACATCGATATCTATCACAACAAACCTTTTATCAACCTAAAAGATGTTATCTGAGGAAAAGGATACATTATTGTAAAACCAACATCATAATCAGGCAACTCCAGAAATTAAAATCAAAATATTTGAATGGAAAATCTATGGCTTATGGATATTTGTGAAGTAAAACAAAAATGGAACCTTTTAGGCAAAACATTATTTATTTAGTTATATTTATTTTTAAACATTTGTATTGAATTCTGGATTGATTAATAACATAAGCAATTTAGTCGAGTTTTTTTGATGAATTTTTCCATATATGTAATATTACAGTCTTTGTATTGGATTTTATTTTGGAATAAACCGTATAAAAAAAATTTTTAAAAAATGTTTTATTTCAAAATATATTGTATTGTTCATATTAAATAACTTGATTATAACCAATATTATTATTATTATTATTTTTTATCAACCTTAACAAATATTATTTTAAACACACAATCGTGATTTGAAAAAATTAAGCTTAAACTAAACAAATATTGTTTTACCAACCGTAAACATTTGAAACATATTTAAATGATTGCTTGTTAAAAATGAATGCGCAGATTATCATATGCATATAGCTTATATAAAAAATGACAAAAACATTTAGCGAAACAATAACGTTAAGTAAAGCGTTACTTTTATTTTACCCACTTGTACAACTTGAAATATTTTTGTCATTCTTGTGTAGAAAGTAATCTACATTCATATTAGGACTTTGAATTATTTTTATAACTGAGTGCTTCAAATCGAAAATAAAATAAAATATAAATTACAGTATAAAAATTAGTGGTGTGATGTTAATTGGGTAAGTAATAATTATTGTGTAATATAATAAATCTTGCAGATTTTGAGATTTTTAAATCCATTAGTTAATATTTTCAAATGCAATAATTTAAGTAGTCTTTTGTACATCCGTATAATATTATGAAAAAATTATAGTTATTAATTACATAATTAAATTATTACACATATATATTAATATATTACAAAACAAAGAAGCAACAATTATCTCGTAATAAGTGACTCACTCAGTAGCATCACAAGAATCCAAAACATAACACACCCATCGGCCATCAGCCAATCAGACCATCACCAACTAATCCAAGAAAAAACTTACGAAGTACGAGATATGGGCATTGATATATGCTACGTATGGGTACCCGGACACTGCGTTATACAAGACAACGAAAGATCAGATCTAGAAGCGTCAAATGTAGCCACCTCCAACGACACCCCAATTCTCGATATATACACACATGAAGGCATAAAAAACAAACCAATCATGTTCTAAATCACCAATGACACAAGCAGTTAAAAAGCCAGAACAAAAAGTTAAACCAAATAAAAAACAACATTCAGCTACGGTATAATCCAGGACGAAGGAGGAAAGAGGAAACTATACTAAATCGGCTACGGCCTACGAATAGGGCATACATTTATCACACACAACCATCTGGTGACAAAAAAAATCCACCCAAATGCGAAACGTGCTGAGTGGCCTACACAGTCAAACATATAATCACTGAATGTCTTTAAATACGAAGACACGAGAAAAAACAATATATTTTACAACAGATCGGAGAAGCAATAGGACTAGACATTCAATCAACTACCAAATCATACAATTTGTAAAAGAAATACAATTACATAAGTTAATTTAAGACACGTAATATCACAATGTAACCACAACATTGTAAATTAATTTTAAATTAATGTCAAACTAAAGGCCCGAGGACCCGATGTCGTATGTAAAGATAATTAAAAACAAAAAATTATTATGATATATATTGACACAATCTCCAATTGAAAATGAATGTTACTAAACATATAATTTATTATAATTGTATTTGGGCGCTTTTATTTTCTTGAATAATTATTATGCATTTTGAATCTAAAAATATAATTCATGTTATGCTTTTTATATTAAAGTAGTAAAAGAAGATTTATCTTTGTTGAGTAAAAGATGTACAGTATGAAATATTAAAAAAAAGCAGTATCACGTTTATATATGTAGGTACTGGGGGAACTCACCAAGTAGGTATGCTAAATTAAACTCCATTTTTCCCTTTAATAATGAATTTATTCAAATTCTGAGTTTTTGAATTTTTAAGTACACTTAAGTGTCATATTTTCAAATACTACGATTTTTTATACAATTTCAGAAGTGTCCCGTAGCGATACAAGCTTCCTTTTTTTCGAAATGAGAACCACTCTTTTTTTATTGTAAACTGTTAAGAGCATTTCAGTGCACTATTTGTTTTCTCTCCGATTTATGTCCATCATAGAGAAAACGCATTCATGAAAAATTCTTTTTTTTCCTACATGAAATCCTGTAATGGAGATGCATTTTTAAAATAGTTTAATGCGCCTTAATTTTAAATCAAAATTCGAATAAGTCATCTGAATTATTAAAATTTAATTAATCAGAATGATACTATAAGGTTAGGTTAATTAAAATAGTCTATCCAATATAGAATAGATATAATATAGATAGAGATAAATGCTTTTTTTATTTATTTTACCATAATGATTTTCATCGTCCTAAAATCGTTTCTTTGGTAAATGTTCCTTTTTGTTTATAAAGACCAAAGAAAACATGACTTAAAGTTGGAAAACTTTAACATTATTCTTATAGAGAATATACTTTAAAAACGAATAGAATTACTTTATTTATTTGACAACATTACATGTTCTGTCGTCAAGTGTATACTTTAAGACAAAACATGTCAATATAAAGGGCCACTATAAAGGCTTTTCAAAAACTTTAATAATTACCTACACAATGTTATAATAATTTTATATTAAATCTAAGTCATTTGTTTTGATTTTCATAAAACATTTTACATTTTCAATAATTTGTGGGTAATTGAAGAAAAAAATTGTTACATTTGTTTGGTTATCAATCAGATATTTTATAAATCATGTTTCATTTAAATTTGTTATATTTATTATTTTAAAATTACATGTGGTACATGTAAATAAATTGGTCAACGTTTTAATTAACTTTAAATACAATCAAAGTGATTAAAATAATTAAAATTGATTATTATATATAATAATATATAATTAAATTCTTCGGTGAAGATGGATATCGACCTTATTGATAACTGAGGTCCCACATCAAGGCCATTATGTACAGCATGCATAATAATACATCTTAAGTCACTGATCAAAGAGAACAGGTAAATATTTAGAGTAAAATATTATAACGAAAAGCTTCAATAATTGATGAGGTACAATCGTTCGTATTACGTCTGCGATGACGACAGGACTCACCAGCTGCAGAAGCAATAATTATTGTTATTTCCTTGCGCCTTTTATTGTTGTTGTATACAATATGTTCAATGTTGGGTACATATATCATCATATTCTTGAAAAGTTGTTAAATCAATATTATTATGTTATTGTTTACAAACTATTTCGAAATCCATTCCCGTTTATTAACAATTATTGTGTGCATACACAATTAATTTTTTAACCGGCAAAATGACATTCTTAAATTATCTACCAGGAAGGGGGAAAGGGGTCCCCAATTGGCTCCTGACAATGTTACATTTTTTTTACGGGATTATAAACGTAACCACAGCAGCTTTGTGTCGGAAAATTATGTTCATCCCCTATGAAAAAATTTAAAAATTCCTAAATACGTTACTGAAATACTGCTACGATTTGCTTCTGTCTGCATGATTAGGGTGGTTCCAGAAACTTGGTTGGGGGGGGGGCTACTAAG